GAGGGGACTTGGGTTGGCTAACATGAGGCCAAGCCCAACAATTACAAGAAGTCAAAGTCAAATACGCTCAGCAAATAATAACAAATAAAAATAAACAAACAAATTAATACAAAGTCAAACACAGGAAATGAAATAGTAAAGTGTGCATAGTGGGCTGGGCCAGTTACAAGGAACATAGCCTACTTACCCCAGTTTACCTGTTGACACTCTGGACATGAGTTTTCTTTTTCAGGGAAGCTTTGGATGTTTAATTAATTCTTGGTTACATTTTAATAATATTTTTGTATAAGATATATCTTCTATACTGCCATATAATACATGTGCTCAAGGTAGATAACCCAGATTATCTGCTTTGAATTGGATTATATGAGTCTATCCTGCCATATAATCCAGTTCAAATGATATAATCTGGATTTCATGTGCCAGTGTAAAAGGAGCCTTAGATTTAACGATAGTAACTATTGATATTACGAACATAAATAGTGTGAACTATGATGTAATCATAATTTAATACTTATTCTAAGTGAGTTTACAATTTTTGCAGATGCAGGAGAGCAATCCATGTCACGTAGGTTGTTTCCCATCTTTTCAGCTCAGAAGGCAGGAAACCAATAGATTACGGAGAATATATTTTTATATATGTTGGTTGTGCTTTTTATCATGTACCTTTATAAAATGTTCTGTAAGATTTAGCCAAGAAATTTAGTAATTGTTCTTTTTATTCTGTGTTTTACCATGTGAATACATGTACAGAAACCTGAGCGTAGGCACAAGTACTAACAAATAGACTCAAGTTTATTTGCACCATTTATTTGTAAAAATATCAATTTGAACGTATCTTAGTATTTATTTGCGGTTAAGATGTGCTGTTACAATTAATACAGCATTCAGTAGCTGAAAAAGATATTAAACTGTGCTTGAATAAGGTTAGTCTGGGATCCCAGATTCATCTCTCGTACCCACCGAACGTAGCTTCTTTTTAAAGATATCACAGTTCAGTTACACATTTTGAAATATCAGCAAGAAACTCATTGAAACCATTCAACAATATTTCATATTGTTTATTACAAACATTTCATACAAAATGTAACACTGGCACCAGATTCATATCACCATGGTTTGTAAAGATATATTGCACATGCTAAAAGCATAAAATATGAAGACAAAACTACAAAACATTAGATATTGGCTTTTAATATGTATATCACTGCATTACAAACACATATAATTGTATTTTATACACACTCAAGATTGTCACCATTTTAAAACACCCTTCCCAATAACACTGACCTAAGGTTTTCTTTGTGTAATAAGAAAGTGTTTGCAGCACTTCAAAAAGTTATGCACAATTTAGCATATTAATTTCCATGTTAACACAAGTAGAATTTTGTTTTTTATAAAAGGAAAAGAAAACATTCAAATAAGATTTGAAATGAAAATGTATATCGTATTATATTGCTTCAGTATCACTCAAATGAAAGAAAGACATTTTCACAATACATACTCAGCATACAGAAATATAAAAAGGCACTCTAAAAGTTTCTTAAAAGATGAAACCCAGTTACATCGTCAAGTTTCTCAAACAGGGTAGACAAAAATGGGTTTAAGCCTTTGTCGTAATTCATAGTCAAACGCAGCAGATGTTTGCTGCAAGAAGTACCAAAACATATCATGGTGCCCTTTTAGTAGTGATAAAACAGAAATCCCCTGAGCTATTTCATCTTACAGTTGAAACAACAGAGATCAGCAAGCAGTAAGTGCCATGCACGACAACCCCGCAGTTGAAGTTTCACAAGAATTAAATAGGAGTTGTCAATGCAGAAATATGAATGTAGAGAAGATGCATGCATTACTACTCATCATCCAGGCCATGCTTCTCTGTCCTAAACACATTTATTCGAAAGCAAACCCCACCGGTTTCAGTGGAACAAACAACATTTAGCCTCTGACAAAAGAAAGCTTTAAACAAATCAAACCAGACCAAACCTGATACTTACTATAGCTTAAATACAGTACCTTGTCTACTACAAAACAGTATTGCCATTTAGATAAAAGAACAATTAGAGTGGAATCCATATCCCGCTGAAGCTGATTGCAAATATCTCATTTATTTTTCATGGTTGTGGATTTCACTTTTTTTTTCTTCTATAAGCAAATCATACATTATCAAAAATATTGCAACTGTCTAATTTAAAACATTGTCTTTCCAATAGATTGAAGGTTAAGTGGTGGGGAAGAAATGTACGACACACTATTGATCTCAATCCTAAACACATGAACGTGAGAGTAAGACCAACTTCATTCGGTTGTGCTTACTTGCATGAAAAGTGTGCAAAAAGTGAATCCCCTACTTACTTCCAACTGATATGCTGAGGAATGTATTGAGTCACTATAGGGTAAGCAGAGTGGAAAATATCATTTTGAGTGACACACAGCATTCCACGAGCGGACTATATTTGCACAACTGGAATTCCCATCAATGTCATCCATGAGGTCAGACAATATTCAATATATGGGATTCCCATGATTGTTTAACTCTCACTAGCAGATAGCCAGTGATTTCTCTTCCTTGGTCATTTTATGTTTCTCTTATTACCTGTCCTGATACTGCATAGCTTATACTATTATTGTAGGCATTTGAGAAGTCCTCAGAAAACGCAAAACATCTAAGACTATTTGTTCTTATTCAAGTTGGACTCTTAAAACTTGTGGAATACTGTCAATATTTATGATTGATCTATTTGATTGATATCCTGCCATTCCCCCCAAATGGAACTTACTCTTCTTCCCAGGCCAAATGTGTTCCCTTGCCATATATGCTACGGGATCTCATCCTCTGAGAATCTAAACACATCAGGTTGTAGCATGCGTCATCAGTTACTACATCACACATCACAGAAGCCTTCTCCTTCTTAAAGTGCATGTAAAAAACCACCTCCTTGCTTGCTTCGTACAGTTGCCAGAACGGTCCTGCCACATCAGCCTCATCTACTGAGCTCCATAAAAGTCCTCTGAAGATGCCAGCCACAGATGCAGGTGAAACATCAGGATAAAATGCTGCTAGAACATGGCCATACAGTCCAGAAACCACACAACACTCCATAAAAGTTGTTGCTTGATATGTCTGTGGTCACATCTTCAATTGCATTGTGCTTTATGGTGCCCGTACAGCCTGATCCCACTATCCGGGCTCATCACAACCAGGAACATTTTATTTTGTTGCACTTTAAATCACATGCAAGTTATAAAGAGGAAGAGATTTTGTTTAAAAAGGCTGGCAGTTTTTAAAAATGCATGCTTTCAACTGTATACTTATTTTTGATTTCAATGCCCTCATTAAACAAAATGTGGACAACTGCTCTAGGAATGTTGGTTGGATCTAGGAAATCATATCTATCATCAAAGAAAATGTAACTCATGGGCATCCCCTCTCTGCAACATTGAGGATCCCATTTACTAAGTTCCTCTGATCTTAATTTATATGTAAAAAAAAATTAAGGGAAAGTGCTGCTGAGGAGAGAAGGGAACACGAAATTCTGGATTCAACCCAATTCAAAGAGTAGTTTGTTTAGGCATGCAGAAACTTTTTTCCGCATTCACAGAACAAAATCAAACTTATCAGCATTTTTTTTTGGACTGGGGGAATACTTAGGATACGTTTGCTGAGGGAATACTTAAGATAATAAATATTCCCCAAATAAAGCCACAGTGCAACTACAGACCTGCACTCAATTCTGCTTCTATTTACACATTGTAAAAATCCCTGCAGATCTTTTTTGTCTCTTCAGATGTTAGTACTGACAAAAGCAAAGACTCCAGTAGCAAAAAAAGGTATATTTCCTGGGCTAAATAATTGTCCCACTTTCTTTTTGATTTCAGTAGGAAAACAGATAATTATAGAGCCACTCCAATATGCCTTGTTAATATTTGTGACAACAAATATTAAAAAATCAGGCTTAAGCAAACATTTGTTATCCCAATTGCTTTTTGTCTGCATGAAGAAAATGTAAACAGCTCATTTTGTGATCACACAACAACCTCCTAGAAGAACTGTATTGCAGGTCTATTTCTGTGCGAATTGTGCAGTGGGGTTCAAAGATATATATCATATGTTGTGCAATGAAGATCAATTTTCTTTTGAATCTTCCTGGTAAAGAGATGTGGTTTCCTTCTGATACTACCGTTAGCCTTTTGGTTTGTCCTATGGAACGCGGAGCACCATTTCCTTATTAAAGGAATAAATCCAACATGGACGTATGCCTGGGAATCAATACTATTAATCATGCATCATCTATCTGTACTCCCCAAATCAGGCATAAACAGAGCTTTTCTTTTTATTACACACAGCTTGCTGCATAAGAACGAAACATCATGTACCCATTTTTTTCCTATAAAACCACATATACTAGGCCTAAATTCATAGCTAGTGAGACATAAAAGAACTAAAGAGTAGAAACAAACCATGGTCATTTTGTTTTCTGGGCACTTGTTTCATTTCAAATAAATATAAACACATTTAACATTAAAAGTATGAACATTATCTAGTCTGGAAAAATAAATTGTGATCAACACATCATCATCATCATCAGTTACAAATGTCCAAGTATCTACTAGAAATTTGTGTCTTTAGGTGTACAATACAGCCAGGACTTGGAATTACATAAAACACTGTGTGTGCATGTGTTATTAGAAAAGTTTTTTTTGTTCACCTGCATTGTTAAAAAATAATAAAGTCTTCCCATTGATGATACTGACGCCTTTTGGTCCTTGTGATATAGCTGGTTAGTTCTTTGTATTTTTAAGAGTCTCATTCCTCTTTCTGTACATCTTTCTCAGGTGAGGAACAGGGTCCGTTTGACCTAGAAGCTTTGGCAGAAGGAGTAGATATTCATAATGCAGAGGTTTAGTAAGGAAGCTGATGTTAGCAGGCCTTTTTTAGTATCTCACAATTCCCTTATGACTTTCCTGACGCTTGCTTGGCTTTTCCATTTTTGTATGTGTTTTGGTTTAAACTGCTCTGTCTATCTTAAGTGCGGCAATAGCTATTACAGTGTATAGCAACTCGATATAGCTCATATGTTACAGGTTTTAAAAAATTGGACAAAATCTACATCTTCAATTCAGAAAGTTTAAAAAAAGAAATCAATTTAAATGGAAAAATATCAACCATTATCAAATTAATTTGTTTTTCTTAGAATGGATTATTGCCTGGCAGCATAGGCAATAATTCCCGGGGATCCCTTTAACTGCAGAGTGCAAATCGTGCAAGCTTTTGCAAAATAATACAAAGTAAGGCAAATCACATCTGCCTTAATAATCTCTTGGCTGCAAGTGGAGACAAGCAAAATTTGGTCCTAAACATTTTCAAATTGTCGATGACAGTGTGGCTAATGGCTTTTAAAAGTGCCTTTTGTATACTTAAGTGCTTAAGTAGCATTTAGATTTTTTTTTCAAATTTCCATAGAAAGTGATGATGTTAGCAATTCTAAAAGAAAACTAAACACATTTGTGGCTTTTCCTTTGGTTTGTATAACAAAGATATCTTAAAAACTCAGTTTGTATGACTAAAAAAACAACAATAAAAGGAAGGAAGATCTGAGTTTCTTCCAATGAGCTACAAACACTATCCTGGAAAATGTCATTGTATTAACAGTACGCTACAGCTAACAGTAATATATACACAGTGGTTTCTGTGTACTTGTGCTGTTAAAATGGAAAAAGGCAGCTGTTGCTTTCTGCATAAAATAGGAGGTAGAGACTTCCACAAAAGCCCTTAGGACCTATGGAAACATACAACAGAGCTGGAAGTAGCAGAAGATTAACAAGAATGCATTTAAATGTTTTTTTCCAGTTTTCAGAAAAGTTCTAACTCCTGCTATACGCTTTCATTGCTTAACTGTAGTCATACCAGTCATAAGCATAGGTCGACTGTAATGGTGGCATATTCAGATCTTTTTAAAGGGGGAAACCAACCTAAATCTAAATGCAACCAAGAAAGGAGCACCGGATGCTAAAATCAAAAGGTTTCAGAATCAGAATCATTTTCACTGTATCCGTTTTCTGCTCCTACATCATTATTTAACGTTTTACTATAGGAGTTAATGGCATTACTCATACTGGAGCTATTGCAGAGATGCGTCCTGCTCAAATTGTCTTTTTTAAAAGAAACGAAGTTGAGAGCCATCACTGTACTGGAAGGAGAAAAAGGCATCATGGTAGCCAAAATGAGTGCCAGGCAGTCAGCCACGTCTTTGTTAGGAGCGCAAGCCAGGGCTGGCGTATGACCTGGGCACAAATGCAGACAAAGCCATGGTTAGTACTAGGGGTACTAGCAAGAGATCTGAGCATTCCTCAGATACATCTCTAGATGAATTCATAGCCTGGAAATGTATGTTTAGTCACAACCACAGCAGGCAAGGCAGTGTTACTTTTGAAGACCGGGCATGCTGGGAGAATACACAATTCATGGGGTGGTTTAAGCTTACATGACCATAACAAGCACTGTTGTTTTTTGAAATGAAAAAAAAAAACAATAATAGTAAAGCAGCAGGCAATTTACAGCCTCCACAGAATGAAGTAAACACAAGTAAATCACATTCCACAAAGGTAATTGAATTTGAAAACTACTTTATGAAGCAAGATATATTTCGCCTTCATTCATCATCTCAGAGGTAATTCTCATTCTGAGAGCAATGATTTGCATTCAATATCAAAAATATTGGACGTTTTAGAAGCAAATTATCATTATCATTTCACAAATTAAAGCATCGGACAAAATGACTGAAAATGATAAGTGGATAATTCTATCAACTTGACCTTGCCATTAAGTAAACAATATTTTTATTTAGAAACACTGTAGTATTTCTCAAAATGATGAGTAAATATAGGAAAGGTTCGATTAAAGTGTGGGGGGGGGGGGGGGGACGACACTACACTAGAATCCAAATCATCATAATAATAATAATAATAATAATAATAATAATAATAATAATAGGAAGAATGGAGGAATCTTCACCAAAAACGAATAATAGCTGGATCTATCTCTGCATCCCAATGGAATTTATCAGGTGAAGTAGGCAAATTGCAATTACAGCAGATCTATGACATCTTTGGACTCAACACACAAGGCTACTCCTTTCCCATCGCTCTTCTAGTGAGAAACTGCCTGAACAGCATTTCTTTTACAAGCACAAAATATCAGTTAATAGCTTTCTTTACAAAGAGAAATGCCTTCCACAGGCCTGTAGCCAGGATTTTTATTTCGGGGGGGGGGGGGGGGGGGGGGTGCTGAGTCTGAGTGAGAGACTTAGACTAACAAACCTTTTGTATCATTACCCCAATATTGAGCATGGTGATCAGATCATGATATGAATAAACATAACAGTTTAAATAATGTACCAGTAAGGCCTTTTCGCGGACCACCATGAGAATTTCGGGGGGGGGGGGCTGAAGCCCCTCAAGCCCCCCCCCCCCCCCCCCGGCCTTCCAACTGTCTCTCACTAGGAGAGTGGCAGGAAAGTAGTGTTACGTCCAACACAAAATGCTGCTATCCTGCTGTGATTGTGATTTGCCTGCCTCATGTAATAAACTCTAATATAATTCTGTATGTATTGCATACCAGGAGTGAGGAACCATTATTTGGGTTGCTAATTCTCCCTTTCCAACTACTAGGCCCTTTGTGCCTCTGATAACACAATGATATTGGGGTAGCAGCCGACATTCTCTAATCTCATGCTAGATGGAAGTAGCCCTTGAAGCTTCACCAGCCACGGACTCAGCTTCATTGTATAAGTGCTTTATTTGGGAGATAATATGTGAAACAAAGATGGTTCAATAACTAAAGTGCCTTTGCACCTAGCCTGATTGTGGGAAACTTGGGAGTGGGCAAAATGCCTTAGCTAGTCACCAGTATTGAGAAATTTGATTTACCAATAATACAGGGTGTCTCAAAATGTTGGTCCCAATTTCAAAGCAGTATATTTCACAATGACACATGTCACGATTACACACAAAGTTATAAATGGTTTAATGAGTGTTGTCGAAGGCTTTCATGGCCAGAATCACTGAGTTGCTGTGAGTTTTCCAGGCTGTATGGCCATGTTTCAGAAGCATTCTCTCCTGATGTTTCACCCACATCTATGGCAGGTATCCTCAGAGGTTGTGAGGTCTGTTGGAGACTAGGCAAATGTGGAATGTCCAAGGTAGGGGAAAGGACTCTTGTCTGTTGGAGGCAAGTGTGAATGTTGCAATTGGCAATCTTGATTAGCATTGAATGGTCTTACAGCTTTTGAAGCAGCTGAAAGGCCATTCAATGCTCCCACCCCGGACATTCCACAGATATATAAACCTCACTTGCCTTGTTTCCAACAGACCTCACAACCTCTGAGGATGCCTGCCATAGATGTGGATGAAACGTCAGGAGAGAATGCTTCTGAAACATGGCCACAGCAACCCAGGTTTAATAAGTTATCACGTTTACTAATCATTTTAAGCCAGAAATATATTTTTTTAATTTATTAAAAATGGAGAATATCTCATAAAGCCTCATGTTGCAGGGTTGCAAATGACTGAGGCTGGGGGCTGTTTGTGAGGCAGGAGAGGCATATAACGGCGATTGCCTGAAACTCTGGCCCCCTCTACATTGCCATGTAAAATCAAAATTATCTCCTTTGAATTGGATTATATGGCAGTGTAGACTCATATAATCCAGTTCAAACCAATAATGTGTATTATTTGCTTTGATAATCTAGATTATATGGCAGATTATCATGGGATAAGGGTTTCATTCATGGGTGGTTTGTTGTTTCAGAGATATAACAATTTTAAATTAGGTCCATCTTTTTTGAAATACCCATATTTCTATATTTTCTCACATCCAAAATTGGCTTCAGATTCATCTTTACTTTTCACCTGCAAAATATTTTCCTCTTTGTGTCCAAGTTCATCATCACAATCAACTTATATTATGACATCTCACTACTAAATATATCTTCTGATTTATTTGCCCAAGAAATGTTTCTCCTATATTTAGCTGAAATGGACAAATGTGCCTGGTTGGTACAATCTGTTAGGGAAGGGGCTTAATGTTTATAACTGGAATAACAAGCAAGTTTCTGCCTTGTCCAGTTGCTACATTAGGGTTAAACCCGATCGAAGCAGGTTGATCCTTTGTGCCATCCTGAGAATGCCCGTTTCCTGAGATAAATTCATTAGAGATTACCTCCAGGTAAGAAAGGGTGGTTTATACTGAATATAAAACAGATGACTCAGAACATGACTGCTGCAAACAGTTACCATGCAAATATTAGAGTTCTATCCTAGTTAAAATGCAGTTTTTAAATATGCACGCAAGGTGTTTAACTAAATACGGTCAGGCTAAGGTACTTGGCTGCCCAAGGCAAATGACAAAACAGCGCCCGTTTCATGCACAGAAGCCAACAGAACAGGCACATGAAACTTACTTCAACATGGGCAATGGGGCAGCATCCTCCACTGCACCTGAGGGTGGCAGGCTAACTTAGGGGGTGAAGGCTGTGTGGCATGCATACATCTGTTCTCTAACACTTTGCGACCCACGACTTCCCACTCCAGTGCATATATACGCACTGCCCATTGGAACAACATACACTGTGTTACTTGAGTAACTTGAGTAGCCATACAACCATACACTGTTGCTCCCCCTCAACGTTTTTGTCCCTATAGTACAGTTTCCCCCACTTGTATGAAGGCCTGTTGTTTACGAGCCCGTTTCTTTATGAGCTTCTCCCTCACAAATAATCTGCTCCATTCCTATCTCACCCTAAGTTTTTAGTATGTTATCTTGCACATGCGGCCCACTCATTGTCGTTGTGAATGATTTTGTATTGTATTTTTATATTGCTTACTGTACTCATATGTTTTATGTACTTTACTGTGTTGTTGTTCTGTGCTTTGGGTTTTTATTTTATTATAATATGCTGTTGGGCTTGGCCTCATGTAAGCTGTCCTGAGTCCCTGTTGGGGAGATGGTGGGGGGTATAAATAAAGTTGTTGTTGTTGTTGCTGTTGTTGTTGTTATTATTATTATTATTATTATTATTATTACTACTATTATTATTATTGAGGGTACCTGCACAATGTGTTTTGGAGAACATGACTTGCCCCTTGCTTGCTCACTCAAGAGCCTTTCCCAACAGAGCTGGTGGTGGTCGTGTCAGGAGCGACTTGAGAAACTGCAAGTCACTTCTGGTGTGAGAGAATTGGCCATCTGCAAGGACATTGCCCAGGGGACGCCCGGATGATTTGATGTTTTATCATTCTTGTGGGAGGCTTCTCTCATGTCCCCGCACGAGGAGCTGGAGCTGATCGAGGGAGCTCATCTGCCTCTCCCCAGATTTGAACCTGCGACCTGTCGGTCTTCAGTCCTGCTGGCACAGGGGTTTGACCCACTGCACCACTGGGGGCTCCTGTCTGTGATTAATACGGATAAAACAACTAGGGCTGGATCTACACTGCCCTATATCCCAAGATCTGATCCCAGATTATATGGCAATGGAGACTCATATAATCCAGTTCAAAGCAGATAATCTGGAATGTGCAATATACACAAATGTGTTTCACATATTAAAATTATTCAGGCTGTGTGTATAAAATATATATGGAACATAAATAAATTCCATGTTTAGACACGAGTCCCATCTCCAAGATGTCTCCTTATGTATATGCACATATTTCAAAATCTGAAATATAGAACACCTCTAGCTTCAAGCATTTCAGACAAGGACTATTCTACCTTTACCAGCCTATTGGATAATTCTTATTAATGCTTTTGCACACTTTGATTTCTTTTATCTGTTTATGCAGTGCATGGCTCTTGGGCAGAGAATTCCATGAGTCTCACCAGTACTGGAGAGCATCCCAATTCAGGGACCCAATTTAGCCATAGAATTAGAGTAGCAGGTATAGGATAGTCTGGAGGCCCTTCTGCCCTATATGCCAGGATCCGATCCAAGATTATCTTCTTATCCCAGATTATATGGCAGTGTATGGCAAATTATACGACAGTGTATACCAGGGGTCCTCAAACATTTTAAACAGAGGGCCAGGTCACAGTCCCTCAAACTGTTGGAGGACCGGATTATAATTTGAAAAAAATGAATGAATTCCTATGCACATTACACATATCTTATTTGTTGTGCAAAAAACACTTTAAAACAATACAATAATTAAAATGAAGAACAATTTAACAAATATAAACTTATTAGTATTTGAATGGGACGTGTTTGGCTGGTGAGATAGGATTGTTGTTGTTGTGTGCTTTCAAGTGATTTCAGACTTAGGTTGACCCTGAGTGAAGGCCGGGTAAATGACCTTGGAGGGCCGTATCCGGCCCCCGGGCCTTAGTTTGCAGACCCCTGGTGTATACAGTGTTCCCTCACCTACTGTGGAGGTTCCATTCCAGGTACACCACAATAAGTGAAAAAACCGCGATGTAGGGACACTATACTGTATATGTACAATACAGCTCCGCCCACTTTTCTTTCCCCCTCCTCTCTCTCTCTCTCTTCCTCTCCTCTTTCCCCCTCCCTTCCTCCCTCCCCCCCCTGCTGGAACCACCCTTCTCCCTCCCTCCCTCCCTCCCTCCCTCCCTGCCTGCCTGCTTCCCCACTGGCATGGGGATCTCAAGTCACAGTGTTCCCTCACCACTTGTATTTTAAATTATTTTTTTTAAAGCCCCAAAACAGCGAGTCCGCAGTTAGCGATCCATGAAGTGGCCTGAGAACACTGTACTCAAAGCAGAAAATCTAGGATCAGATACTGGGATATAGGGCAATGTAGATGCATCCTGAGCTGACAGCTTAGGTAGGAGAAAAATCAAGACCTCTATGTATTGCGTAGAGCAAGTGGTGATACAGAAGATCTCACAGTGGGAAGACATGAAGGCTAGACTAGCATGACTGATCTATTTGGGAGGCAAGTATTCACTCATCTTGAGGGTGTTGATGAATGTAGATGTAAGACAAAAGATGGCATGCAATGAGTCTGCCTTTTCTCAGACACCGAGTCTCCAATCATGCAGAAATAATGTAGAAAATGGTGCTAAACAGGACCCAACAAAACTGTTTCTGAATTGCTCCCCATTCACTGTTTCTGCCATAGTTCATAAATAAGTAAAAATTAAAAATTAGGTCTGCTCAGGCTGGTCAATATAATGGTTATAGAAATCATCATGGATGGGTACCAGAATTTCCGAGATGCACTCTTAAAACCTGCCCTGGAGGACCAAGGAACGCAATGGGGTGAGTTTTCAAGCAGCATTTAAGGCCACAAGAGACAGGTGAGGGGGATGCTGGGTCTGCAGTAACATTATGGCCCTGGATGCAAGTTTTATTGCCTCTAGCTCATAAAGACATAAAGAGCTACTCCAAATATGCTCAAAGACTCATATGTGTCCAAGTAAGATTTATAATGCAATTTTTTTTCCTATACCTAACATGACTGGGAACTGAAAGAGACTTTCAATGGGAGCTTGTAAGACCACTGGGTGGCAGTAACCTATCACATATACCCTCTTTACAGAATCTGAAACTGTTTTGATCTCAAAATGAATTAGGACTAGAGGTGGGAAGGCCTGGAAATAACCAGAAAAATTGGGGAAATGTTCTGTGTGTCCGTCCCCCCCCCCCCCCCCCCCCCCCGTTTTTCCTGTTTCAGGGCACAGCTGATTTCATGTTGATTTCCTACCACCACCATAGTTGAACAAAGTTTTTGAAAGAGGTAAACATTGGCTGATGCTTTTTAGAATGCTAGAAAAATGCTAATTCTTATTACATTAATTTTTTTCATGTCAGGAGAGAATGTGAGAGAATTGGTTGTCTGTAAGGACGTTGCCCAGGAGATACCCAGATGTTTTACCATCCTGTGGGAGTCTTCTCTCATGTCCCCACATGGGAAGCTGAAGCTGACAGACAGGAGCTCCCCATGCTCCCCATATTCAAACCGCTGACCTTTCGGTCAGCAGTCCTGCTGGCACAAGGGTTTAACCCATTAAATATATTATTACATTAAATAATATATTTTGTTGCAAACCATGGATGAAAAACAAAACAAAAATTAAGAGGAGTGTTGGTGCGTGTGTTAAATAAAAGGTGTTACAGAAGATAAGAGCTTTTCTTGTTTTAATAAATTGTACATGAACAGAATTTTATGATTAGCATACTGATTAGAAGCGCCCTGCTTAAGTGTAGTTTACAAATACATGTGCTATAAAATGAGTGAGGGATATTGTTCATGAATAACAAAAGGAATGCTTCACTTACCATTTTCATCTACCGCTCGTACACATGCTCCCTTTGCCAGTAACTCCTCAACTACCATCTTCAACCCATTTTGTGCAGCAATATGAAGAGGTCTAGGAAACATAACATCTAGATTCAAGTAGGTTTGATACATTTCAAAAGGTCTGCAGACATGTCAAAGAATTAAGAATATAGGATAATAAAACTTTTATCGGAAAAAAATCAACTTGCTTTGTCCAAAAACTGCAAAAGAAAAACCCTGAAGCCCAAAGCCATATTTCCAGAACGGCAAAGTATACATTATATAACATTTCTAAACAATGTTAAATACTGCTGCTGGTAAACAAACCATCAATTAAGATATACGTACGTTTGTAATGCATTGTTTTTTGCATTAATAAGGCTCTGTTCTTGTATCTTGTCAAGTATCAACAAGGCACATTTTTCATGTCCCTGGAATACATAAATATATTTAAAAGGTGATTCCCCTGTTTTAGAAATGAGGTCAATCTGACAACACTTTGTATTTTTAAAATATCATTTTAATAGGGTCAGACACACTTTTACAGTCTCTGCAGAGAAACCTACACAGAAGGCCCCTATTAAAAAGGACCACCATTACTCTGCTCCCATTCAAGCACCCCAAACAGCAAACGCTGCTGCTGAACCCTATTCTTCTACTCCACTTTTTTCAAATAAAATAAATAAAATAAAATAAAATAAAATAAAGGGCAGTTTCAGCATAACATCTCTACAGCTGGATTATGGCAATACTATCCTAGGGCTTTTCTTGGCAAGATTTTTTTTTTCCAGAAGAGGTTGTTTTTCACTTTTCTCACAATTTAGGATAGTGTGATCTGTCCAAAGTTATCCAGTGGTTTCTATGGCTGGGCAGAGATTCAAATCCTCATCTCCTAGAATCATAATCAAACACTCAAACTGACAAACCCATAACGGGGACCAATGGAAAACTATCGAGGGGAGAATCCATATTTGGGGACAATGGCATCATTTTGCTGCCACCATCCATATACCTCTGATCTTACCATAAATATCTGTGGGAGCATAATGATGGATTGGACCGGCTTTTGCCTTGATCTGTGGTTCTTAGCAGTATTTGTCACATTTTTCATATGTTTTAAGCATAGGTTAAAGAGCTCTTTAAATGTCATTTCATTTTTAACATATAAAAACCATGTAAAAAGTGACCATTAAATAGAATTAAATAATTTAGAGAATTAGAACACTTCACACCTCCATGGCCCCTTCCACAAAGCTGAATAAAAACCCACATTATCTGCTTTGAACTGGGATATATGGAAGTTTGGACTCAGATAACCCTGTTCAAAGCAGATATTGTGGGATTTTCTGCCTTGATATTCTGGGTTATATGGCTGGGTAGAAGGGGCCTTTGTGTTTTAATCCTCTAAATTGTTTGATTCTATTTAATGATCACTTTTTATTGTTCTTTCTAATGGTGAGCTGCTGAGACTCCCAATTTTAGGGAATTCACAATATAAAGAAATATAACAATAATAACAATGACAGATGCAAATACTTTGAAACATACTTTACTGCTAGCCAAGTGCAAGCATGTATTCAAGTCCTTATCCTTCAAAGTTAAATCGGCCTTGGCGCTGTTCACCAAAAAATCTAGAAAATGCAAAAACAAAAATGCCACAAATTAACTGCCAAATTAACTGCATTTCGTTTTCATACATGATAGCATATCTTGTGATAATAAATAATAACATTAGTGATAATAAATATTAATGTTTCAAAAACGTATTATACTATGATACATGATTTTTGTTCCTGGATTATAAATGTCACTGGGTCTATCATAAAACATGAAACTGCAAAAACTTTGTTTTTGTCGGACATCCTGCAGCACATTTTACTATAGTTTTTCAATGAGTATAATAATAATAATAATAATAATAATAATAATAATAATAATAATAATATACTTTATTTATATTCCACTCTATTTCCATGAGGGGACTCAGACTGGATTATAGAATACATATATGGCAAACATTCAGTGCCATTATACAATTAACAAAGACAGACAGGACACAGAGAGAGGCAAAGGCTTCCCCCTTTTCATCTCCAGCATCTGGAGGCTGTGCTCAACTCGAGCCATGGGGAGATGCTCTTGTTCCATTTTCCATGCTGAGGAGCCTATTGTCCATGGACGCCTTCCTGACCGAATTGCCAGCATGTCTGCATGGGCGCCTTTTACCTCCCTGCCAAAGCGGTAGCTATTGATCTGCTCACACTATTGTTTTCAAATTGCTAGGTAGGCAGAAGCTAAGGCTGATGGCGGGAGCTCACCCCGACCCGTGACTTTGAACTGCCAACTTTCTGGTTGGCAAGATTTTCTGCAGTTGGTGGCTTAACCCGCTGTGCTGTATCTCATCAAGTCTCAACCAATTCAACATAGCTTGTGGCAGCCACAAAAACAAGGTTTCTGGAGTATAACAACTACTTTCAAAGTAAGTACCATGCAATTAAACAGGAAATAACACTTTCAAACCAAAAACAGATTTTTTGTTACATAGTGTAATTGAGTATGGCTGAACTGTACAGAAATGATACAAACTACAAAGTAAGTTAAATGTTGTTATATAGTGTTATACATTGACACAGTTAAAGCTGATTATTGGTTGCACATTCATCGGATGGCACTACAGTTCTTTTCTCATCCTTGCAAGCCACATAAATTGCCCTGTAAGTAGCAAGTTAGACTAAGCTATAGCAGTTTTCCATGGCTCTTTTCTCGTTATCAAATAGAGTCGTGTGCAATTCAAAACCTTTCACAAGTATTTGTTATGAAATACAGGGTACTAAAATCTGCATTATCTATATCCAATAAAGCTAGACTATCTATAGATAAGGGTAAAGCTTTTCCCCTGACATTAAGTCCAGTCGTGCCCAACTCTGGGAGTTGGTGATCTCCATTGCTAAGCTGAAGAGTGGGCATTGTTCACAGACACCTCCCAGCTCATGTGGCCGGCATGACTGCATGGAGCACAGTTACCTTCCCCCCGGAGCGGTACCTATTGATCTACTCACATTTGCATGTTTTCGAACTGCTAGGCTGGCATATAGATATAGACTATCTATTGATGTGTAAAAAAGGTATTCATTTTGTCATTTCCCAGGAACCAACTACCTACCTACTGCCCCTACATGCCCTTTTTCAGCAGCCATTGTAAGTGGTGTTTTCCCTGAATTATCCACAGCATTGACTTGAGCGTTGTGGCTTAAAAGAAGATGGAGGCATTCCACGTGATCAGAAAAGGCTGCCGCATGGAGTGGTGTCCTGAGAGGAAAAACAGTATGTTATAATTTTTTGAGCAATACAGCAACTTGGATTAACATGATATATTCGAATTCCACCTCTCTGTCCAGTACCCAAAATGGCAAATGAAACAACACACACGATACTTCACTATGTTTATTGCAAAACCCTTTCCCCCCAAAATAAAAACATGAAGTGTGTAACATAAAATGAAAACCTTAGATTCTGCAGCTACAGAATGTTAAATAAAATACTGAAGTGCTTAAGAATTGCCTAAAAACAGTGCTAACGGATGGCTAATACGTTCAAATAAGATGATCTAGATTACATTGCCATATAATCTAGATCATCAAATCAGATAATCCACATTATCTGCTTTGAACTTGATTATATGAGTCTTCACTGCCATATAATCCAGTTCAAAGCAGGTAATCTGGATTTTATACGGCAGTGTAGAAGGGGCCTTAATGTTCTTCCTCAGAGAATGTTCATTCCAGTGGAAAATACTGTACATGAAGCAGAGTGAGATTTCTGGCAATGCTTTCTTTTTCCTATAGTTGACTCCATTACATAAATCTCATCTAAACAGTTGGGGAATGTTGAGGTACTCCATTTGTGTGAAAAGTATCTCTCTCTCCATGATACTGATAGCATTGAATCACAGACCACTCCACCAACAGACTAACACTAATACATGATCTCTAACTTGAAAACACTGCCAAGAAAAAACCTTCTTGCACAAGTAATTCATACCTTCCTTTGTCGTCTTTGCAATTGACAATGTCAGCACCAATAGTTCCAATGAGTAGTGATGCACAATTTTCATGATCATTGATTCTATTGAGAAAAAGAAGTTCATAAATTGAAATTTAGTCCACTTCCTTAGTCAAATCATCCATGTTTGTTTCATACCATACTTAGAGCATGGTTTATACTACCACTGCAACCAGCCTTTGGCATAATACCTATGCTCTCAACTGGGATTTATACACACTCTTATCTATAGCATGGGTTTCAAATTCAAAACATATACAACAACTTGCAGAAGCACTATTGCCACTTGTGTTACAACCTAGAACTGAACTAGGGTGGTTATACAAGATCCTCAACACTGTGAAGGAGCAAAATATTTTTGTGGCATTTAATCAGTGGTTCCCAACATTTGGTCCTCCAGTTCTTTTGGACTTCAACTCCCAGAAATCCCAGCCAGTTTACCAGATGTTAGGAATTGTGGGAGCTGAAGTCCCAAACACCTGGAGAACCAAAGGTTGGAAACCACGGAGCTACATAAACAAAACCAGGCACTTGTTGGTTGCATAAGTCTTCACCCTTTGAGTCAATAAGCATAGGAACATGTTGTGAGCAATTACAGGTGCTGAGTCTTTTTGGGCAAGACAATATCCCCTTAATGCATCGGCATCCTGCAATTTAGTCCATGTGTCCTGTCAAAATCATGCCAGGTGTACGGATGTCATGAACATTTTGCTGGAAGAGGCAGGTAGTAATGACAGGAACGCACCTACACATAGGAGTAGTCAACCTGCCTAACCATGCTCACTTTGAGGCCCCTTCTACACTGCCATATAAAATCCAGATTCTCTGCTTTGAACTAGATTATATGGCAGTGTAAACTCATATAACTCAGTTCAAAACAGATAATGTGGATTATCTGAATTGATAATCTGGATTATATGGCAGTGTAAAAGAGGCCCAACAATTTGTGAATTTGCCCACCATTGGTTACTTGCTTATTTTCCCAACTAAACCCTCTTTACTCAGCCTGGGTTTTGGTGGCCATATTCTTTCTTTTGTAATTATGGATTTTACTTTGCAAATACTTTTAAAATAACCCGACCCTAATTGGTGTTTTTACATAAATTTATCCCAGATTTGTGTGAATGGTTCCTTGGTCTTGCTGATGCTGTTTGTTTAGGTATGCGCTCCAGCAATCTCTGAGGCCTTTCAGAAATAAATGTATTTAAATCTTGAGATCATGAATTGCACACTATGGGACTCCATTCAATCATTTAAGGGGACCTTAGGAAATAATGTGTCACACTGAGCTGTTTAGACATATCATAGCAAAGAAGGTGCCCACTTATGTAACTCATAAGTGCTAATTTGTTCCTTTTTTGAACTTAACTGTTGTGCCACAATAAATATATATATTGTACTTTCACATTGTTTTGCATCTTGTGCACACCAAAGGGTACTAACTCTCATAGGATTGCTGTGAGTTTTCCGGGCTGTATGGCGATAGTCCAGAAGAATTCTCTCCTGATGTTTCACCCACATCTAGGGTAGGCATCCTCAGAGGTTGTGAGGTCCTCACAACCTCAGAGGATGCCTACCCTAGATGTGGGTGAAATGTCAGGAGATAATGCTTCTGGAACACAGTCATACAGCCTGGAAAACTCACAGCAACCCAGTGATTCCAGCCATGAAAGCCTTAGACAACACAATAATCACATCAATTCAGTCCATAGTTGGAATACAACAAAATGTGGAAAAGTCAAAGGCAAGTATTTCTATAACTGTAGTAGAGCTACTCACCTTGTATTTCTAGTGTGGGGGCAGCATATCATTTCCCCATGCAATGTACCTGCTACTATTTATTTGTAAGTGTCTTAGCAAAAATAGTGGTGTCACCCCAATTACTGCTAATGGTATGGAGTCCTGCCCCTGACTTCACTGGTAACTATACAGAGGACTGCAGTACTGACATTTATGACTTTTCGGAATCCATTTCTGCTGGTAAGCAACGGTATTTAATTCTAGTTATTCGGGAGAGGGAGTAGGCAGTGTTATCTAATACATTCCTGGCAAAAATAATGTTACCGTTTTTCCCCCGACTGAAAACGCTAAAGCACAATTTGAAATTGGTAAAAAAGGGTCAGGTAATAATAGAGCTGACAATAAAAAATACACAAATTATGGTAGCGTGTTCTTCCTGACACGAGAACACTACAATTATTTGGAGGATAATTTATTTTGTAAGGTAACACAATGAAATATTTATAAAACAAACAGATGAATTCAAGAAAGGATTGTGGTAACCTGCCATTCTTATTTCTTTTGTCCTCATAAACCTATATTTCTGAATTTGTCCATCACTTCCATGCATTCATACTGTGAAGCTATGATGTGAAAATTGTTTATTCCTAACAATTATTGGCTGTGGGGGCATTTGTAGACCAAATCCATAAATGTAGAATATGAAGTTTTTAGAGAATTCTATTATTCCTAGTGTTTTTGTGTTCCTGTACCACCGATTTCACATACAGATCAAACCACACAAAATAAAGATCGGACACTGACATTTCCACTTACACAGCACAGTGCAGCGGGGAGAAAAGGTTCCCACTAAAAGTTTGGAAAGGTTTCTGTTCCAACAGTACCTCTATACAGCTTTCATTGCCTGTAAGGGATAATAGGTTTCATGTTACAAAAGCAAGAACGTACTTTTGGATTATTTATAACTGAAACAACCTCTATAATGCAGATCAGGATTTGAACCTAGGGTTCACACAGAGTCAAGACCCTGAGCACTGAATTGGTCACTCCAGTGCACAAATCAGTCTGAAATGCAGAGTTCTTTCCCAAACACAGGATACCTTTCACTGAAGCTTGGATTGCATGCATGCAGCCCATGTACTTTATCACTAAAGTCTATTCTAAACTGCTATATAATCCAGGTTGTCTGCTTTGAACTGGATTATATGAATCTACACTGCCATATAATCGAGTTCAAAGCAGATAATCTGGATTTGAAATGGCAATGTAGATGGGGCCTAAGGTTCAGCCCAGCTTACTTGTACAAATGTATCTCCCTCTACATTCCGCCTCATAGTTTAAGATCCACCAGGGAGGCCCTGCTCTCGGTCCCACCGGCCTCGCAAATGCGTCTGGTGGGGACGAGGGACAGGGCCTTCTCGATGGTGACCCCCGCTTGTGGAATTCACTCCCCAGTGAGATTAGATTGGTGTCCTCCCTCCTTTCCTTTAGGAAAAAAACTGAAATTGTGGTTTTGGAACCAGGCTTTTGGCTAGCAGGCACAATGGAAGTTTGGACACTGAATTGGGATCATATGATGATTGTTATGATAATGGAAATGGCTACTATGACTGTATAATTATTGTTATTGTTTTAATCTATTGTGTGGTTTTATGGTTTATGGTTTTTATATTATTGCATATTGTAATATTGTAGCATTGAATAGCTGCCAGTGTTAGCCGCCCTGGGTTGAGAAGGGCGGAGTAGAAATGTTATTTATAAATAAATAAATAAATAAATAAATAAATAAATAAGGATACTTTTACACTACCACATAATCCAGATTATGAAAGAAGATAATCCACATTATCTGCTTTGAACTGGATTGTGTGAGTCCACACTGCCATATAATCCAGTGCAAAGCAGATAATCTGGATTTTATATGGAAGTGCAGAAGGGGCCTTACTGATACCTCTTCCCCCTTATTGCTTATGATGATTATGATAATGATGCTTATGATGTTTATTTATACTCCATTTTTTCTCCACAAGGAGCCTCAAAGTGACTTACATTAAAAGCATTTCCATCCACTTTAAAAATATACAAATATACAAATATTAAGACTGAATTAAATATCACTGGTATTTTAAAAATCTGTTAAAATCCATAAGAATATATTCAAAACTAAAAACCACAGCATCACATGACGATCGTAAAAACCTTCGTATATATAGAGGTCAGAGAAGTTGCTTTTTGATTCCCAGAATCCTCTGCCTGCATGAGCTAAAAAAAATAGCATTTTCATTTTCTAATTATATATATAGCAGTTTCCTAGGAAGGTTACAAGAGCCAGTGTGGTACAGTAGTTTCAGGAATGAACCAAAGTGTTTCATAAACTATTTTGAACCCTGGCATCCCCACCATCCCTAATATCTGAAGCAAATATGATTCTGAAACAAAAGATTACCATTATAAGAAGCCCAGTGTAACGGTGTGTAATTCTGATCATCTCTAAAACTATCGTCCTCTTCTGAAAGTGCCAACTGCAGTAATTCACTCAGCCACGTGGCATGTCCACGGGCCGCGGCGTAATGTAGAGGTGTCCGGCCTCTGGCATCCTTGCACAAAATCAATACTTCTTGTTCCAACAGCATCTGAATACATTCCTCATGTCCTGTCATAATCTGATTGCAAACACATGTACATTAAAAGAACTGCAAAAGGAAGATTCACCGCAATGAAATGGTGTTATACATGTACATACAAGGTGAGAATACCACATATCCAATCACAGATAGAATCACAGAATCATAAAGTTGGTCTGAGTCCCTCTACAGAGGTAGAGAAGATCGGGATATAAAAGTTTTAAATAAATAAATAAATAAATTCATGGGCCATCCAGTCCAACCTCCTGCCAAGAATTAGAAAAATCATATTCAAATTACCCCCGACAGATGGCCATACGACCTCTGCTTCAAAGCCTCCAAAGAAGGAGCCTCACCACACTCCAAGGTAGAGAGTTCCACTGCTAAACAGCTCTTCCCATTAGGAAGTTCTTCCTAATGTTCAGGTGGAATCTCCTTTCCTGTAGTTTGACACCATTGTACTGCATCCTAGTCTCCAGGGCAGCAGAAAACAAGCCTGCTCCCTCCTCCCTACCACTTCCCTTCACATATTTATACACAGCCACAATTTCTCCTTTTAGCCTTCTTTTCTGCAGGCTAAACATGCCCAGTACTTTAAGCCGTTCCTCATAGGGCTTGTTCTTCTGATTATGATTTTAGTCGCCCTCTTCTGGACACATTCCAGCTTAGAGTCAACATCTCCCTTCAATTTTGGCGTACGATTACAAGTGTAGTCTGACCAAGACAGAATAGAGGGATAGCATGACTTCCCTGGATCTAGACACTAGATTCCTATTTATGTAGGCCAAAATCCCATTGGCCTTTTAAGCTGCTGCGTGACATTCCTGGCTCATGTTCGATTTGTTGTCCATGAGCACTAAGATCTTTTTCACACGTACTGCTGTTGAGTCAGGCATCGTCCCCCATTCTGTATCTTTGCATTTCATTTTTTCTGCCTAACCTCACCACACTAGAGAATGAATCCACTTTAAATACAATTTCTGCCTCCTGCAGAATTCTGGGATTTGTAGTTTAGGAAGGAGCCTTTAACATCCTCACTAAATGACAAATACTAGAATTCTGCAGGAGGCAGAAACCAGATTTAAAGGGGATTCATTCTGTAGTGTGATGAAGTCATAAGGGGAGTATCTTGCATCTGTCCCTGTTGAACTTCATTTTGTTTGTTTTGGCCAATCTCTCTAATCTGTAAAGATCGTTTTGAATTCTGCTCCCGTCTTCTGGGGTATTGGCTATCCATCCCAATTTGGTGTCGTCTGCAAACTTGATGATCATGCCTTCTAACCCTTCATCTAAGTCATTAATTATGATGTTGAACAGGACCAGGACCAGGACAGAACCCTGCTTATGGCACTCCACTTGTCACTTCTTTCCACGATGAAGAGGAAGCATTGGGGAGAATCACCCTCTGGGTTCGTTTGCTTAACCAATTACAAATCCACCGAAATGTAGTTTTGCCTAGCTCACATTTGACTAGTTTGTTTGCCAGAAGGTCATGGGGGACCTTGTTGAAGGTCTTACTGAAATCAAGATATGCTACATCCATGGCGTTCCCTGCATCTACCCAACTTGTAACTCTATCAGAGATCAGATTAGTCTGGCATGACTTGTTTTTGATAAATCCATGTTGTCTATTAGCAATGACCGCATTCCTTTCTAAGTGTTTGCAGACCACTTCCTTAATGATCTTTTCCACAATCTTGCCTAGTATCGGCAGGAGGATGACTGGACGGTAATTGTTTGGGTTGTCCTTTTCCCCCTTCTTGAAGATATGGACAACATCCAGATTAACACATCAGATAATAGTAGTCATGGGCGATTTCATCAGATGTAGTAGTCATGGGCGATTTCAACTATCCCGATATTTGCTGGAAAACAAACTCGGCCAAGAGTACAAGGTCCAACAAATTCCTCGCTTGCCTTGCAGACAATTTCATGGTCCAGAAGGTAGAAGAGGCAACAAGGGGATTGGCTACTCTTGATCTCATCCTAACAAATGCGGAGGACCTGATCGATGCGGTCGAAGTGGTAGGATCCTTAGGGGCAAGTGACCATGTGCTCCTGCAATTTGCGGTACAAAGGAAGGCCGAAACTAAGACAAGTCAAACCCGCATTTTGGACTTTAGGAGAGCTGATTTCCAAAAAATGAAGGAAACGCTGAGCAGCATTCCGTGGACACAGATACTAAAAGACAAGGGAGTTACGGATGGATGGGAATTTCTCAAGAGTGAAATACTAAAGGCGCAATTGCAAACCGTGCCAACAAAGAGAAAAAATAGGACAAGTGCAAAGAAGCCAGAATGGATGTCAAAGAACTTCTAACTGTGCTAAGACACAAAAGAGACATGCACAAGAAGTGGAAAAAGGGAGAAATCACCAAAGAAGAATTCAAACAAATAGCCAACACCTGTCAGGGAAAAGGTCCGCAAGGCTAAAGCAAAAAACGAGCTCAGACTTGCCAGGGACATTAAAAACAATAAAAAGGGCTTCTATTCTTATGTCAGTAGAAAAAGGAAAAACAAGGAGGCGATAGGACCTCTTCGAGGAGAAGATGGGGCAATGCTGACAGGGGATAGGGAAAAGGCAGAACTACTTAATGCCTTCTTTGCCTCAGTCTTCTCACAAAAAGAGAGTCTTCAACCTCAGCAAGATGGAGTGGATGAGGGATTGGAGGACATCCAACCCCAAATTGGGAAAGAAGTCGTCCAGGAATACCTGGCCGCTCTTAATGAGTTCAAGTCCCCAGGGCCAGATCAACTACACCCCAGAGTATTGAAGGAACTAGCGGAAGTCATTTCGGAACCATTGGCAACCATCTTTGAGAGTTCTTGGAGAACGGGAGAAGTTCCAGCAGATTGGAGGAGGGCCAATGTGGTCCCAATCTTCAAGAAGGGAAAAAAGGATGACCCAAACAACTACCGTCCGGTCAGCCTCACGTCGATACCGGGCAAGATTCTGGAAAAGATTGTTAAGGAAGCGGTCTGCAAACACTTAGAAACAAATGCAGTCATCGCTAATAGTCAACATGGATTTATCAAAAACAAGTCATGCCAGACTAATCTGATCTCTTTCTTCGATAGAGCTACAAGCTGGGTAGATGCGGGGAATGCCGTGGATGTAGCGTACCTGGATTTCAGTAAGGCCTTCGACAAGGTACCCCATGACCTTCTGGCAAGGAAACTAGTCCAATGTGGGCTAGGCAAAACTACGGTGAGGTGGATCTGTAATTGGTTAAGTGGACGAACAACAAGTTAAACATGAGCCAACAATGTGATGTGGCGGCAAAAAAAGCCAATGGGATTTTGGCCTGCATCAATAGGAGCATAGTGTCTAGATCTAAGGAAGTGATGCTACCCCTCTATTCTGCTTTGGTTAGACCACATCTGGAATATTGTGTCCAATTCTGGGCACCACAATTCAAGAGAGATATTGACAAGCTGGAATGTGTCCAGAGGAGGGCGACTAAAATGATCAAGGGTCTGGAGAACAAGCCCTATGAGGAGCGGCTTAGGGAACTGGGCATGTTTAGCCTGAAGAAGAGAAGGCTGAGAGGAGATATGATAGCCATGTACAAATATGTGAGAGGAAGCCACAGGGAGGAGGGAGCAAGCTTGTTTTCTGCTTCCTTGGAGACTAGGACGCGGAACAATGGCTTCAAACTACAAGAGAGGAGATTCCATCTGAACATTAGGAAGAACTTCCTGACTGTGAGAGCCGTTCAGCAGTGGAACTCTCTGCCCCGGAGTGTGGTGGAGGCTCCTTCTTTGGAAGCTTTTAAGCAGAGGCTGGATAGCCATTTGTCAGGGGTGATTTGAATGCAATATTCCTGCTTCTTGGCAGGGGGTTGGACTGGATGGCCCATGAGGTCTCTTCCAACTCTTTGATTCTATGATTCTATGATTCTATGATTCTATGATAATCCATATTAGCTGCCTTGAACTGGATTATATTACACTCCCATATAATCCATTTCAAAGCAGATAATCCAGATTTTATAAGGCAGTGTAGAAGGGACCTCAGATACCTTCAGTTCTTTTTACGGGTGCATCTAGAGCAGGGTTCTTCTTATGTTACTGCATTATAATCATTTTCTTTTGAATACATGCCTTATATCTTCTTATATAGCTATCAATGGTTTTCAGTCCAATATAATAAAATCATAACAGAAGAACATCACTACAAAAGGCATAAAGCAAAATTATAGAATAAGATGTCCTAAAACCAACAGTTACCCCTCGATGTAAAGCAGTGCATCCCAGGACATCCGCTACATCCACAGATGCTTCTTTTTCAAGTAACAAGGAAACGGCATCAATGTGCCCATAAGCCACAGCCAGCATCAGTGGAGTCCTACAAAATGAGAGACAGTCGTAATTTTATATTCCAGCCCTGTTATCTATTATTTTCTCCAGACTTCACAACTATATTCCCTCCCACTCATTACCTGTGTATTACAAATTCAAAACCTTTTATTTGCATTTGATCCTTTCCTCCCATTTTCCCAACAATTTCTGGTATTTCCGCTTTGGCCAGTTTAGCGAGTCCATATGTTTTTCACTGTGAGACTTAAGGTGAATATGGCTTTCACTATCAGAGACAATATGTTTTTTACATGTAATTAATCCGTGTGATTTCCTATGAGACAAATGTTAAAGAACACGGAATGCCACTTCCAACTTGAAGCTGTTTGAAGATTGTATTTCATGTAAGCAATAGAAGCAGCTGTATTATATATTTTGTATTTAGTATGTAGTCCCTGTACAACTAATCTTACACTATGTGATGCGATTTTTGTACCTGGGTTGTAAATGACATTTCCTCATTGGGTTTAGCATAGAAACATGGGAAAAATGTATTAAACGGCAAAAACCTTTCGTGGGACATCCTGCAGCTCATTTTGCTCCAGTTTTTCAATGGCCAAAACATTGAAAAACCAACTGAACATAGTCTCAACCAATTCAACACAACAACAACAACAACAACAACAACAACTGGTGGGATCACAAGCTGGAAAAAGTTACAGAGAATGAACATGCCAATCTCCCCAAAGGGGACTCAGGGCGGCTAACATGAGGCCAAGCCTAAAAATACAATACAGCACAATAAAATACAGAATGCAGACAACAAAAATTATATTAGAAAATACTTACTTAGCAAAATAAAATAAATAAAGCAAATTAACACAATATTAAATTGAACAGAATAGTTTGTGGCAGCCACAAAAACAAGATTTCTGAATTACAACTACTTTCAAAGTAAGGACCGCACAATTAAATAGGAAATAGCACTTTCAAACCAGGAATAGATTTTTTTCAAAGTGTATTACATAGTGTTATATGATTGCACATTGTTGACCATCGAATTGCTGGACTTTGTGTGTGTGTCAGGAGCGACTTGGGAAACTGCAAGAACATTGCCCAGGGGAAGCCCAAATGTTTTACCATCTTGTGGGAAGCTTCTCTCATGTCCCCGCATGAGAAGCAGGAGCTGAGAGATGGGAGCTCACCCCGCTCCCTGGATTCAAACCGTCGACCTTTTGGTCAACAGTCCTGCCAGCACCCATTGCACCACTGGGGGCTCCTTTAAAGCCAGCACTTTTCATCAATCTAATTGTGAAGTTGTCTATGCATGGACTGCTATTTCCAATAACCACTTCTCCCTTTTGACCTTAGTTTCCATCTTTAGCACTATGAGCAACAGAGTTGACAAAACAGACATTTGACTGGCATCAAATGACTGAGAAAGCATTTCCCGTGCATCTAAAAATGACCAACTCTGAATTGGATAAAAGAGTTCTGCGTTCAAACCCAAAGGTGTTCAAGGTATTCCCAAAGAGAATAATGTTAACACAAACCTATGAAATCAAATTGAACTTACTGTCCTTTGGCATCCGTCACATCAGGATTATCTGCTACTTCTAATAAAAGCCGTAAACATGGTGTATGTCCGTTGATGACTACAAAGGAAAAAAAATAAACAAAGAGTCTTTGGGCATGCAAGACTGATAAAGATGCTCTCTCCTAAGTATTTTTATGCCCACATCCTTACAAAGAAATTGGAAGTTTTGCAATTTTTCAACCAAATAGATTTGCCTTCCTGGGCCACTAGGAGGTGGCTTTAATCAACAACAACAAACTCACAAAAACATTTATTTAACCATTAAAAAAATCATTTTGTCCTCTGTGGTGGTCTGATAAAGCTCCAAATATTGTGTAAATGCCCTCCACATCCCTTAGATGTCATCTTTGGGCATTTTTAAATGTTTTTGAATATTTACATAAAACTGCAATTAAAGATAAGACTGTCCAACTCTGATTAAACCATTATTCTAACCTTCTTCAATGTAAATGTGCTTACGTCACCTTTCAATAATACTAGAGTAAAATAATACATGTAATAAAAAGAATGATAGAGTAAAATAAATTAAAATTATGGAATTGTAATAACAGTAATAATAAAGTAAAATAATAAATGTAATAATAATAACAATAACAATAGAGTAAAATAATAACTGTAATATAATAATAAATAGAGTAAAATAATAAATGTAATAATTATAATAATACTAATAACAAAGTCAAATGATAAATAACTCTGACTCGAATGTAAGCCGAGGGGAACTTTCTCAATCTAAAAAAGGGGCTGAAAAACTCGGCTTATACTCAAGTATATATGCTACTCAAATATGGCCATAACCTATTACACTTGTATTAACAAATATCCATATATTATTCAGTCAGCAGAGGTCTCTGTCAAGACCATGCTAAGGTAATGCAGTTATCAATATAAAAAACTAAATTTCTTCTGTCTGTTTGAAGATAAGCACATCACAGAAACAGAAGTAAACATTCAATGATAAACCAAAGCACAGAAAAAAAAATGCCTACAATCAATTCTAAATGTACTAGTGTAAATACAGAATTAACGCTCTTGGAAAGGGTTAAGAAGTGATGCAAGAAATAATGACATTTGGGAGTGGGTGATAATTTCAAGGACAAAGATTTCCACTTTAGGGAACAAAGCGGTTGTCAATCTATTCTACCCAGATATGATTATCTTCAGTCAAAGTACTGGCCCATCTCTCATACTCCACACCACCTAAACATGTTCTTGTCTCTTCTGCATTAAATTTCTTTGCACTGCAAGGGAAACTTGCCTGAGGCATGAAGTGGGGTTCGCTGGGTGACATGATCTTTGACGGTAACGGAAGCACCCTGGTTGATAAGAGCTTCAACACATTCAGCGTGTCCTTTAAATGCAGCAAGGTCCAAGGCAGTACGTCCTTTTTCGTCTTTGATGTCCAGATCTACCAGAGACTGAAGGAGCACCTCCAAGGCTTGGTGATGACCATTGTAGGCCTAGGAGTCAAAACCAGACACTTAGCACCTTACTAGTCATTTCAGCCCAGGAGCCTTACCTCTATTGTAATTACAATTGAACACAGAAAAGAGAGTTCATGATGCTGATGTGCTTTTCCCTTGTTTTTAAAAGCTGAAGCACCAATTTAAATTGTGTATAGTATTTATTACATCAGAATAAATTGTTATATTCACAGCTCACCCATCCTCTCAAATGTGGCATTGTTACAAAATGTAATGCAAAATTGTTGGAGTGCAATCACTAATAACCCTAAAAATAACTTTTTAAAAAGGAGTTAAACAGAAACATTAGAAGAATTGCATCTTCTATTCCAAAATTAACCGTAGTGTACTTTAGCTCATTAATTTACTCTCACAACACTTTAACACAGTGGTTCCCAACCCCTTTTTGACTAGGGACCACTTGACCAGGGACCACTCTCCAGCATAAGTACCGAAAGGGTTATGAATCAGTTTTTGGTCAACTTTAGATTCGGTTTGGTTATTTGGGGAGTTGATTCAGAAAATTGCATTGGATAGACCACATCAACTCTCTTTTCTGATACAGAACGTATGCCACCAAGTAGTCGCCATCTGCTCACTCACAGAAAACCATATATAATAATCTAAAACTGATGTGTAGTAGTAATCTTTCGTGGGTAGCCGCTCCCCTCCTGACATGCCCATTGCCTCGGCACTATAAGAGGGTTTCACGGGACCTGACACTCTCATTGTAGGATATAGAGGCTGCAGACCATATTTTTGTTCCTGCACACCACTGGTGGTCCATGGACCACAGGTTGAAAACCACTGCTTCAACATTGCATTAGTATGCATGTCTATTTAGACATAACCTGTCTGCAATGTCCAATTTAGTTTACTCCCTAGTAAGTATATTTCAACTACAGTATAAAGCCCCTTCTACACTGCCATAAAATACAGATTACCAGAACAGATAATCCACATTATCTGCTTTGAACTCGATTATATAAGTCTACACTGCCATATAATCCAGTTCAAAGTAGATAATCTGGATTTTATATGGCAGTGTAGATGGGCCTAAAAGGAGCTATTCCTTTATACCAGGAGTCCTCAAACTAAGGCCCAGGGGCCAGATGCGGCCCTCCAAGGTCATTTACCTGGCCTTCGCTCAGGGTCAACCTAAGTCTGAAATGACTTGAAAGCACACAACAATAACAACATCCCTATCTCATCAGCCAGGCCCACACTCCCCACTGAAATACTAATAAGTTTATATTTGTTAAAATTGTTCTTCGTTTTAATTATTGTATTGTTTTAAGTGTTTTTGCACTACAAATAAGATATGTGCAGTGTGCATAGAAATTCATTCGTTGTTTTTTTCAAATTATAATCCTGCCCTCCAACAGTTTGAGGGATTGTGACTTGGCACTCTGTTTAAAGAGTTTGAAGACCCCTGCTTTATACAGTAGACACATAGTTAGGGATTGGTAGATGCAAGATACATGTAGTTTCTGGTTTTGGGTTTTTTTTGGGTTTTTTTAGAATTACTATTAAAAATAGACCCAACTAATACTATACCCCATAGCATAGCATATAATAAATTCTGTATTGGTTCAATTTTAATATTGAAATACAGTAATTAAAAGAAAATTAAGACAAATAGACAAGCATAACTTAACGTAACATATTTGGGTCATTCTATGTATATATCCATAGAATGACTGGAATTAAGTCAGCTTTTGGAATTTGTCTTTGGGTCTCAATAATAACAATTCTACACTGTAGACCCAAACACTCAAATTTCTCTTCCTGGAATTTGTACTAAGAACGTAATTTTCACAGTTAAAAATTACAATCCAAAATCCACTGAGAATTAAAAAGTTTAATTAATCTCCCTGGAGGTGCAACAACCCATTAATGTTAATGAGAACAGAAATGCAGGAGGCTTATAGATTGCCCTCTGGCTCAAACCTTATACAAGTTCCATTTTTGGTATCTTTTTTGTGAGACAGAATATTAATGTTCACAAGATTAAGATTCAAGTAAGTGACTAAAAGCGTATGGAAGTAAAAACCAGGTGCAATAATACATCAGAATATTGGCCATCATCACCCTACCCCTTGATTTTATGTATAAGTAAAGAGATAATGTATTTAATAAAAAATATATGAAAAAAAATAATACATCAGAATATTAAAGATGTTCATTGTGTTAAAACAGATCACACTGTTATCTCTGCTATGGGTTAATTTCTATTCTAGGTGGAGTTAAATAAAGAGCTCTATAAATATACAGGCTGTGATGCATTGAATATGTCTGCTTTTGCTGATCCTTAAGGTCCCATCTACACTGCCATATAAAATCCAAATTATTTTCTGCAAAATTTGAATTGTGTATATTAACAAGTTTGGGGAGGAAGCTGGGATACAAACAGAATAAATAATTGTTTTCATCACACAAGTATCTTGTTTTGTATCATTTTCCCCATTTCTTTCCAGAAATCCTGTATAATGAAATCAATCACTGGCTATGGATCCATATGTAGCTAAAACAGCTCTCAAGAAAGAGGCATCAGCAAAGTTGTGGAGACATCACCGTTTGCTGAAATACAGTGTTTTTTGTTTTTTTTTAAACCCTCAATGGGTGAGAAAATACTAAAACTGTCCAGAAGAGACTGAACATACTCAGTGTCCACCAGATGCTGACTAAGGAGTAATGGAATTGGATATTTTGGAAGAGGATATGGCTGCTGGGTACCCAAAATAGGAATACTGTACGTTACAAAATCCTACTTATAGATAAAGTATGTGGCTCTTGCCAGCTGCCTTTTTGGATTGTGAAACAGAGACTCCTTTTTAAAAAATGAACATTTGAGTGAGATAACTTGGTGTGGAGCTTCCCTGGAGAAAAGTTTTAATTAGATAGCTGCCTAAAATATTTAATCTTAAACACTGTTATTAAGAAATAAATCTCCTAGAGTAGAGTGGGGATTACTGTTCATTAATCATGCAGAGAGGACTCCAGAGTACAGACTGGGATTTGTCTCAGTAGTAGAATCAGTTCACCAAAGGTTCAGCTGAAAGGCTTTTCATATACAGTGATATCTTGACTTAAGAGTTTAATAATGTTCCGTGACTGAGATCTTAACTCAAACTGCAAACTGAGCTCTTAACTCAAAGCAAATTTTCCCATTGAAATGCTATTAATCTGTTCTGCCTCTCAAAAACCACACCCATTTTTGCTCTATGTTTTTAAACCAGAAAATTTTTTATAAATAAAAATACTTTATAAATAAAAATAATGTATAAAATGTACTTTTAAGAAAACATAAATCATCACACCTCCAAACCTGACAGAGAGAAACTGATGGGATAGCCCGGAAAAACCTACAACAACCCAGTGATGGGAGGTTGTCTGTGCCTCTTTTCCCACCAATCAATGCCTCCCACTTCACAAATTCTTATTTTAGCTCTTTTCTTCATCCTGATCTTGGATGCTAAGCTGGGTCAACCCTGGTCTGAACTAGGATGGGAGTCCACACAAGGGTCCCAGTTGCAGGAGGAGGTAATGTTACAGAGCAAGGAACTGGCAAAAGGTATTATTATTATTATTATTATTATTATTATTATTATTATTATTATACTTTATTTGTACCCCGCTAGCATCTCCCAAAGGACTCGATGCGGCTTACAAAGGCCAATGCCTCAAACAACAACAACAGACAATAACAATATAATACAAGCAAATTAAAAACATAAGCAATAAGAACAACAAAACATTACACTATTACACAATAAAACCAGGGCCGGGCCAATGAAGGGTACAGGTTAAAAGTGCTGGGTGTAAGAGGTGATATGTTGGGATTCTGGCCAAGTGCAATGTGCAGAGAGTCTTAAGCTCTAATAAAGTGCTTCTGGGATGTAGTGCTAGAGGTTATCCTATTCCGGAAAGGCACATCGGAATAGCCAAGTCTTCAAGTTCTTCCTAAAGACTGCCAGCGTGGGTGCTAGTCTAATGTCTTTGGGGAAGGTGTTCCAAAGTCGGGGGGGCAACCACAGAGAAGGCCCTGTCCCTCGTCCCCACCAAACGAGCCTGCGACGCAGGTGGAATCGTGAGCAGGGCCTCTCTGGATGAACGGAGGGAGCGCGTGGGTTTATATACGGAGATGCGGTCACACAGGTAGGCAGGTCCCAAACCATTTAGGGCTTTGTAGGTAAGCACCTGCACCTTGAATTGGGCTTGGTAGGTAACACTTTTCTTTTTATTCAGCCAGACCTTTTAATTTTAATTAAGGAGTTACCTACCAAGCCCAATTCAAGGTGCATGCTCCTGGTTAGTCGTAAGGCCGAACAGGGTATAGGGTTACAGCCTGTGTTAGACGGGGTCGCACTCCCCCTGAAGACGCAGGTTCGCAGTTTAGGGTGTGATCCTGGACTCATCGCTGAGCCTGGAACCCCAGGTTTCGGCGGTGACCAGGGGAGCATTCGCACAGTTAAAACTTGTGCGCCAACTGCGACCGTACCTTGGGAAGTCTGACTTGGCTACGGTAGTCCACGCTCTGGTTACTTCCCGCCTTGATTACTGCAACGCTCTCTACGTGGGGCTGCCTTTGAAGACAGCCCGGAAGCTCCAACTAGTCCAACGGGCGGCAGCCATGGTACTAACAGGAGCGGGGCGCAG